CTATTCTCTTGACAAGATACTTTGTTAATTTTTGCTGAAGCAGAAGTTTCTTTCATTCCTCTGGGCGAGGTGCTCTCCAAAATGAGCTTGCTTAGCCTAGGGTCTGGGCCTGGGTCCCCACACTGGTAATAAAAAGAGATTCCATTATGGCCATTCCCATAGTTAAAACTACTACTGAGGACAGAAAAGGGGCCACAGGTTACACCTGGCAACCTTCACATAAGATGGCGTGAACAAAAAAAAATTCATAGCTAAGGTGGGCCATGGTGGGAAGTCACATCTTTAGCCTGAAGGTGTAAGGGTGAAATTTGGTTAATCAATAATGTAATTAAACTTAGCTAGTTTGCAGTTTGATCCATCTTGGTATTTAGCTGTTTCCTCTTTTTGTCTCCTCCCACTGATTAACTGAAAACTCTGTTCCCTTTTACAAGGCTACCCATACCTAGTTAATTAACAAACATCCTAACCTGAAAAGAACAACTTCTTTAATCCTCAGGCGCCTGGATGTTGAACGTCTGGACCCAAGATGAAAACTCTTTAGCAGTTTTTCACAACTCCCTAGCAGTTTTTCCGCAGATGGCTATGGACAATAAGATTTAAGATAACATTGAGACCTACCTGAGGCCTCAGAAGACTCGAGGAGATGACTTATTAACTATTAGCCATGAGGCCTACTTTCCTTTGTTCTTTCCCATCCAGAAGCCAGCGACTGATCTGCCTCACCCGGGAAGAGCGCGATGATGGTGCCAAATTGGGCCAGGGAAGCAACGTCCTCCACAGCTAGACTGAGGAACAAAAAGACAGAAACTTGTCTGTTCCCCTTCCCCCAATTTTCCAGGGCTGTTCCCATCCCCCAATTCCCCAATAAAAAAATCTTTAAAAAAAAACAAAAACAAAAAAACTCCAGGACATTCTACGGCTGCCACCATAGAAGCAAAAGAAAATTCAGCTGACACTGCAGCTAGACCGGCAGCAATAAACAGTCAAATTATCCAGACTTGAGAATGTTTCTTCTCCCTATTAAATCAATAAAAGACTTTTACAGTTCCAATGGACAGCGGCAGAAGAAGAAAATAAAATATGGCAACAAAAGGGGAAAATTTTGACCCAAACAGATATAGCTTAGCATGTACATGAGCTAATGCATTGGGTCTTGGAAAAATGGTTTCATGGAGTAAAGAATATTAGAAATCTTCTACTGTAGCTCATAAAGTGTATAGCAGGTATTCTATCTGTCCAAAATATAATCGTGGAAAATCACCCCAAGGACATTTCCCATTTTCTTTAGGTCCATTTGAGGTATGGTAATTGGATTTTATCCAAATGCCACTATCTTAAGGATACAAATATCTATTAGTCACGATTTATATGTTGTCTCACTGGGTTGAGACATTCCCTTACAGGAGAGTAACAGCCTTAATGGAAGGGAAGTTATTTAAAATAATAATAAATAATCCTTCGTTAGACAATTCCCTGTGAGTTACACAGTAACTGACTCATTTCACTGAGCCAGTGATATAATCTATTTGTGATATTTGGCTTATTTTACAGCATTTTCATTGTGCTTACCACCCCAGTCCTCTGGATCGATAGAATGTACAAATGGTAAATTAAAACTCAACTGGTAAATTTTCAGAAGCTATTAATCTTTCTTGGCCAAAAGCTCTCCTTATAGTGCTTCTCAATCTGAGAGATACTCCTTTTGGTAAACATAGGCTTTCTCCACATTAGTCATTGTTCACATTATGTGAAGGGACATATGAAGCAACCTGACTAAAAGACATTCTACATTATTATCAAGGACTTATAAATTATGTTAAAGAAATCAACAAATTAGTAACTGATTCACTTCAGTGTGCTCCTGGGAGATGAAGACTTCAAAGAATCATGACTCACAACCAGGAAATTTTGTCCATTGGACAAGACATCAATTAAAGGCTCTCCAACCTTGTCAGAAGGGACCTATCAGTGGATATCAAAGACTCCTCAAGGACCAGAAGTCGCCAACATTGGGTAGACAGCAATCCCAAGACATTGAGAAGGCTTGTATACCTACGTAATTGATATTGAACTTAAAATCACAATTTGTTTAATTGTCTTTACCTGTCTGCTAATAATATTAATAATAATGATAGTTATACTTGTTCTTTAGGCTTTTCTCAAACCCTGTACATATATAGCCCAACTGTTAATAATTGCTAAAGGCATATAAGATAACTTTTATTATCAATAATATTATTTTTGTGGTTTTGAAATTTAGAAGGAATGTTATTATAGAAGGAAGAAAAGGGGCGTGTATGTGTTTTTGAGAGAAGTTAAAAGAAAGTAGTTTGTCCTAGTCAGTTTATTATTTCTGAATGAGGAAAAGGAGACAAACTGAGAAGAATGAGTGGAGTTGTAGAAGGTTAGTGGAAAAGAAATATTGAGAAAGGAATTTTATGTATATAAATATTAGATCCCAATTATGTTTACCCCCTAATTCAACATAGACTACTATTAATATATTAATTAAGCTGAAGTGGATGTATATTTAAAAAAAAAATGGGGCCAGTCGAGTGGCTCATTTGAGTGAGTGAGCTCAAGAGAGTGAGCTCTGAGCAACAGGGTTGCCGGTTCGATTCCCAGCCCGAGCTGAGCTGCTGCCGAGCTGCCAACAGGTGGCAGGATGACTCAGCTAAAAAATAAAAATAAAAATAAATAAATAAAAAATGGCCCTCTTATAATGACTGCTGAGGCACAGAAAATTTATTTCTGAAAGTCTTACTGTTCTGGCCTCTAGAAATTTTTAGGTAGTAATTGTAATTTACACCGTTATGTTCTTATAGGCTTGGCCCCTATTAAACCTTACAGTTACAGTTTCCAGTTATACAACTAGCAGAAATCAGGTTAATAAATGACACTCGAGTGCTTCCAATGAAAACTAGATAGGCCATATTAAATCAAAATGGTGAATGTTTATGTCCGCCATCTATATGGAATTCTGAATTCACCCAATCCTGGTCTATCATATCCACCCCAACAAACAACAATATATGATTTATGGGAAGGGGCCATTTTTATTGGGAAGGGTTAGAAAATTCTTGTCATACTAACTGATTTCTATTGTAATGACACAAGGTTTACAGTAAATGCTATGGGAATATGGTGTAATACTAAAATCATAGGCAAATTAACTTTGCCTGAGGCTAATAAAACCCATGATAATATTGATACTGAAAATTCAATGTACTGGGAAATTGAACTTAATCCTCCCCATGGGAAGTCATTTCTATGGAAACTAATTGACCAGAAGAAAAATTAGAATGTCTAGATCCTGAAATAATAGTCTTCATTCATTCATCTAGCCAAACTTATCATAAGGTACAAATAGCAATAGACGAGGGAGGAAACAGATTATTAGCTTAATAAAAAAATTATGATAATGCATGTAAAGGGCTCTTTAGTTGGCTAGAATGTTTGCTTCTCTCAGACTCATGCTTGTCTAATATTGGACATCTTCTGTTCCTAATTGGTGTTACTGGTTTAATACTCTTGGTCTTAGTCCTAGTTTGTATGTGTTATACTAGACACACAAAAAAACCAACATAAGACAGAGAAAACAAACTCAGATCATAATAGCACAAAGGTTACAAATGATCCAGAATATATTTAATGAAGACAAATAGGATCTGACTGCCCCCCACTGCTCACATTTTCTTTTAAATATAAATAAATAATTCGGCCTTGACGGCTGTCTAAGGTTATGATCTTACCCCACCCTTAATGGTCCAACATTCAGCAAGACAAACGCTGACACTAAGACTTCTTAGAAATGAGCCTTCCTAGTACCATGGGACCATGTTGTGGGAAACTCAGACAGAGAGACAGGACACCAAGGCTCGGGAAGCAACATTTATTGATGCTGGCACCAGCTCAGCAGATTTACATCCAGACCTAGGCGGGACTCAGGGCTATATACCCTGAGGTTTCCAGGTTGGCAGCTAAGATTTATTATTAGGACATGTGGCCATTGTGCCAGTTCCTGACTGGTTCCCAGGTGTGTTAGGAATTCAGAAATATTAAATGCGGGTCTTAATGGCCATGCAGTTTAGGAATGTCTTTGTCTGAAGCCCGCATGAAATCCTTAGTGACCACATGGTCTGGGAAGGCCTTTGTCTGAGGCCCACTGCCGCATTCCCCACTTTGATACTCAAACCCATACGTAAGAGCATCATCTCCTTCGACAGGCTGCTGGCCTAGGGGTTGGTACTTCCATAACATGAGGACTTTAGTGACAGTCTTATGTTCTACAATGGTCTCTATGAGGGAAGAGGTAGAGCGAATGACAAGGGGGAGAATGCAGGGTAAAAGGAGGCATGCCCCAAGGAGCAGGAGGACGATTTCAATTAACGTTTTAAATCCCCTGAGGGTGGAGAACCATCCTCCAAATAGGCTCTCGGGGTCTCAT